ATAAATGGGCACGTTTTTGTATTGTTTTAATGTGAAAAATATTATACCAAGTCAGGTATTTATTTTGGTTTTTAATTTATAACAACTACGCAGAAGTGTTTGTGGTTGTGTAATTTTTGTTAACTGTAATTTTAAAACCTTTAATGTAATCAGAGTTTTTGGAAAGGGATCTGTTTTGCATATATTTCTTGAATTGATTTGATGAATAAAGCTGTTTTCAAACAAGACACGTGCTCTATTATTTTCGTATGGATTATAGAGCATACCAACGCACATTTGGAAAATCAATAAACGCTACTTAGACTTAATCCGCAAATGATTTGTGAATTTATTTTATGTATTTTGCTCTTTTTTCGGTTTACTTGTACAGATTAGTTGTGTTCTTTTGACGTACAGTAAAGACCTATTGACAGCTAAGTTTAGTGAATTTGTTACTTAATGGATTTACAGTAGTAACAAAAAAATTATTATAATACTTAAATTGGTAGGGTATAGAACTGACTACTTTTTCTTTTGTATTTTTTTATAAAGATAAAGTAAAAATGTTACTTATAGCTACTACAAATTAATGAAATACAGACTTGCAATATTACTGGAATTATTATAATAAAGATAAGTTGAAGTGTCAATGAAGTTACTTGCTTCAAAATTTTAACGAAAAATAGTTACTCATACGCACAGTGTATTCTTTTTGGCAGTACCAAATTTGTTTCAAGAAGCACTCGGAGATGTTTTTAGAGAAAATAATGAATGAATGCTAGAAAAAAATAATATAAAACATATTTATTAATTTATATTTAAAAGGGTGCAGCTTTTCTTCTAGAAATAACTATGTAGATAGAATAAGTATTTTGCTAATTATATAACATACATTTTATACATAAAATTCCTTATATGTTTATTAATTAAATGCTGAAGTAACTATATTTTTTTCTTATATCAGTGAAATGCTTTTTGATTCTTCAGTGGTATTGTATTTTAGTTTTCAAAGAATATTTTATTGCTTATTTATATGAATGTATAAACATTTCGACAATAAACTTATCTCCTTTTCGATCAATACCATTGTCCTTATTAAGATCGCTCTTATTTTGAGATTGTAGCGCATCAAATAGTTAATATTGCCAATCGCTATCAAAATCGAATTTACAAAATCTAATTTGTATGCAAAGCATGCTTTGCTATGCAAACATAAACAAAACAAAAATAAACACTTTGAGATAAATTTTTGTAATCACAAGTATCTGCAAATGCTCAAGACTACATACCCAAATACTGGGGAGTTTGGTTTGTTTTTATGTATAAACATATCAGTGTATTATCGTAATCACTTTAGCATGTTTTTGTGTTTGCAGTCAAAAAAAGGAAAACATTTGAGTCGCGTGTCTTGACTTCAGGCTCTGCAATCGAGTATTTATGCATAAAATTTTAATAAGCCTTCAAACAAATAAAACAGATGGAAAGGCACGCAAACATATTTACACAGACGAAAACTGTCAAATTATTCAAGCTTGTGTCATGTGTTTGTACTTTTGGGGTCTTGGGGGTATGTCATTCTTCATTGAATTACGAATTACTAACTTTTCCAATGACAAATGCCTAGCATTTATTATTTGTTTTAGGCAAATTAATTTGAACTCTCTGTTTTAATTGAAATATAACTTCTTTAAGTTTTAGATTAAGTTTCAGGTAAAGTTTGTCATTGTTTATATAAGAACTATTCAAATTCAATGAAATTCGGAGAAGCATGTTAATTACATATTTGGTTTTGTTTAATTGAAAGCAAAAAAATGTTAAAATAAGAATTACATCTGAGAAGCTTAGTTACCTAAGGAGTGAACGGATTAAGTAATCCTCTTGACGTTTACAGTTTTTTTGTCGAGTTGCTTAAATTTTTGCTTTTAAGGTTTGCTAACAATAATTGTTTAACATGCTAATATCATTGTGTATGATATCCTTCGGTTTCATTGAATATATTAAATATTTTTGTTGGTCGGCTTTCTGTTTCATTGATCGATTTTTCAAGCATTACAATTCAATAAACTTTCTATATCATTAAATAGCGTGCCCTGCTCTAGACTTCTAGTATTAGATGATCTGTGTATGTGGCTGTAATATGTGGTTATATTAGTAATCCTTATATGGTTACGAATTACTGACAAGTTGATAGGTAATAGGATAGTTTTTTTCCATTTTTTTGACATACGCAGAATGAAGGCCAGCAAACGCTCAAGCAACGCTAAAAGACACAGCACACCCATTTAAGTAAAAGTGAGTCAACTTGATAAATTCAAAAATTTGGTTAAGTCTCTAATTTTGCAGGACGATAGCTCTGTCAGGTCTGTAAGAAAATGGGCCCCTAAAGATTTTAAATCTTCTTCTAGCCTTTATCGATGACGTGTAGTTTTTTTCTCATTCACAGAGCCAGGACCTCGGCAAATGTCATTGTAAACACAATCTCATAGCATGTTTCCTAATACACAGTGACCCATCAGCACCGATACTATAGCAATGAACAGGTTAGGCCTTAGTTGAAATAGCTGATTGGAACGATTTTTTTTCAGTTTGGCCTTTAGCGATATAAATGTTATTAACTATAGTATTAAAAATAATGTTTAATGAAATAAAATTTACAATACCATATGTTTATGGACTTGAGTTTTAAATCTTTTAGAATATCAGAGATCCTTAAAGCCATTTTCTTGCTTAAACTTTTTGTTGAATATTGGAAAATTTTTTATGTATTTATTAGATTTTATTATAATAATTAAAATAAGGATTTCATATCCTGACGATAAAAATTAAGTGATATCCATTTTTATGTTGGAAATTTGTGAAAACTAATTAATTTTAGCAGTAAAAATAAAGTTTTGATATAATTCCTTTTAACTAAAAAAAATAGTTAAAGTACACACTAGTTAAATGTTTTTTAATTTTTCATTAAATTTAAGTATTTAAATATTAAATTGTAATAAATTAGCTATTTTAAGATAATTTATAATGGCACTTCACTGAAGTCACTTAATTTTTCTTTTTTATTGTTGTTTTTTAAATTCGCTTCAAGTACTCCAATTGTTTCGCTAACAGCATGAAAGCATAATAATTCACAACAAAGCACGTTTACTGCGTACATGAGTTATTTTAAATTCACTTAACCAACAATAACAACAACAACAACATTTCTAACAATGCCAACTATACAAATATTGAAATAAATCACTTAAGCAGACACGAAAACAAACAAACAAAAGTGCTCGAAACACCGAAAGCACTGACGTATGAGTAATCTTCATTACCGAGCACAAAAGCAGCGAATATGACATTTTCATTGTCATGGCTACGCGAAGTCTGCAATATCATGTTAACACACAAACTCACAAACACAAACACACTCTTACAGATTTATATCGTTTGCAAGCGAACAAACAAGCCTTGCTAGCAAGCAATGCTAAATACACACAACTACCTTTAAATCTTTATTAACATAAATAAAACATTTCATGTTTATAACAACAACAACAACAACCTACAACAATAACAGCAACAGCAATAAAAACTTGTGTCATTTTTACAGGTGGTATCGCGTTTCAGATTCCTCAGCCTTGTATCCGATCCCGTCTTCACAGCGAGTCATACTGTCGCGTACATTGTTGCTCATCAAAAATGCTGATGAACGTGATGCGGGAAAATGGGTAAGTTTAAGGGTGAAAGTTTGTTATATGCGCAAGCATTTGTTGTTGCTTTTTAGTATGAAAACGAGTACGAGTAAAACATTGAGCGCGATGCTTATCTAACATAATTCAAGGACGCGTTAGCATAATAAAGTTATGAATTTCATTAACGTTAAAGAGGCGACATAATTGTTTATTGTTTGTTTATGGGATTTTGTATTAAGGGTGACAGGGCCAAGAGCAGCGGAGTCATTGTCATGCTTCTTTGCTGTAATGCGAATTTAAATAATGAGCATAATTTGTTAAATTAACTTTTAAATTAATTTTAAGAATTTCCATTTTTTATTCATGATCTAAGAGTTGTTAATGAACTTAAAGGATTAGCAAGTTTGTCAGAGTTTTGATTACGGATTTTTTTATCTCATACAGATAAAAAAAATTTCTTTTTTTATTTAAACTTTTTGTTAGAAATTTGAAATTATGTTCAAGAATTTTCATATTATTTATATAAAGTTAAATTAATTTTTTTTTGCATTATTTTATCTACATTCATTGAGTTTTAAAATTTTGTTTAAAAGTGACTATAAGCACTTTAATCATTTTAAAAATAGCTCCGGTAACCAGACCACCATGTTTGGGTTGGTTTGGTGATAGTGGTAACAGGGCTTTCCATTCTGCGCAAGAAGTGCTCAATTGCTATTTTACATATTCACACCCGGATATGAGATTCAAAGCCTTAAAACTTTCTTTTTGTTGTGTTAGGTGGAAAGCATTGTAAAATCTGAACCCACACAAATACCCTCTTAAGAATTTAATGGAAAAGATTTTTATCCCTAACCCGGATGAAAGTATTTTATTCTAGTAATTAGGCGAGAAAATTCAGACGAAGGGACAGACTTAGTACTTAGAGGTCTAGGTTCATCCAAGGCAGAAAACATGGGCGTGGCATAAAGGGAAGGGAGATAGGAGAATACTTTATTCTAGTAATTAGGAGAGAGGGTTCAAATTATGGGATTTAGTATTGGTGGGTAGGCTCATGTAAGTCAGAAAGTGTGTTTTTGATATAAAAGGAAGGGGGATAGTTAGCTTTGAAACTAACCTGCGCGATTGATATAGTAAATTTGATTTTAAAAGATATACATTTATTTGGGTTGTCTACCTTGTTTAGTGGACACTTGAATTCCGAATCAAAAGACAACAAAAATAAAAAAAATGAAAAGAAAATCCATAACTAAAGAGTTGAAATAGTGAGTTCTAAAAAAATTCTAACATTTATCCTTTAATTGTTGTATACTAATATGAATTTTGTTTATGCAATGTTTTTTACGTTAAGATATTTTTTCGGCATACCTAGGATTTTGGGCTTGAAGTTTTACGTTTATGTTTTTTGGTGCAAAGAAGAATATTAAATTTCTTCAATTAGTAAATGTGCAACTCAATGGTTAGATTCTTTAGAAATTGTTTAATCATCTTTAGTTTGGTATAGTGGTTAGGGAATCTGATGTAAATGAAATATAATGACCTTTTTCAACAATCTATATCAGTAGAAATAAAAGTAGTATTAGTAAAACAGATTGTAGATAAATTAATATACTCGATTTTTGATGATAGCACTAACACATGAATCTTAGATAAATATTAAAATCCTTACTGAGATAAAAAAAATTCTTGTTTTTCTATGCATATGTCAATTTGGCTATGTTTAGGATCAATGTTGCTGTTCATCTTGTATTTGTTTTTAAGTTCATTATCTGTCATTTTATATAGTTTATCTGTCAATATTATTCTTGTGTTTTTAGAATAAACCTCTGCCAAAGACCGCATTTGTGTCTTGGCACATTGCGAAATTTTTATTGAAATATCTTTATATTCATATAGAAATATTTAGATGATGAAAATGTAATAAAACTCGTCGAACTAAAAGTTAGCCTGAGATAGTAAACTATATAAACAGAAAAAAACATTTATTTATATATTATTTATTATTTAGAATGGCTAATCGAAAGATATCCTTATAATTTTTATAAATAGCACATTCCGTGTTAAAAACTCTAATAAATAAAAATTCAGTTCAGTTTATGTAGTTTAACGTTCACTGAAGGGCTAAGGCGGTCAAAACTGTTATTTTTTCATTCTCTTCGATATTCTTCTGATCGGGAACCTATATAATAGTGATGTTTGCAAGGCATTTACATAGGACTTCTGACCTATATTCTATTACTAGTTCGAAATTTGAAGTTGAAGTATTGAAATCTTTATTTGATAGGACTGAAAACCGAAGCATAAGTTTGGTTTCATTAGCACCTATGCCGCAGTCTATTTTTGAACCATCGTAAAGTAGATGTCGAAGCATAAAATAAATCAGATTTGTTAGCTTAATGCCAAACTATACCGATAATTCGTGCTTATGTCGAGAATCGCATCTTTCAGCCTAACAGCACTGTTGTTGGATGTATTCACTATATGTAGCATTTATATCTAATCATTAGTCGTTTACTTATGTTTTTCACAATATTGAATTGAACTTTGTGGTAAAGGTTGTATAAAAGCATTGCATAAATAACTTTAAATTATTTTAAAATAAAGTAAATATTTACTCATGTAAATCGTTTAAGAACTTACAGTTTCGATTACTTTCAGATATAAAATAATTTGAGTAGCAAATTAACAAAAACTAACACAATTTGCTTATATTTTTATATTTAATTTAATAAACTTCGTTATTTCATTCATTTAATTAAAAAATAATTATGATAGTTATTTTCTCCTCTATTGACCACTAAAAATAACCAAAAATTACAGTAACAAATATTAAATAAAACTACATCAAATAACAATGGGAAAATATCATTTAATTTAAATATGTTTTTAAAATTTTATAATTTAATTAAATTGACTAAAATAAATTTTCAAAAAAAAAAAATTATGTTTTTATGAACAATATGCTATACATTAAAAACAAACAAAAAATTTGATTAGTTTCAACTATTTGATTTTAATTAATCCAACTCTAACTCAATAGACTAACACGGAATAAATTCCTAGTAACCATGGAAAAAGTACATTTTTAATATAACTTTTTCAGATATGCCAAGCTTCAAATCAATTTGGTGAGCAACGCATTGAGATTCGTTTATTGGTGAACTCGTATGTTTCGGTGCATATTTTGCCACAAGTTCAGATTGTCAACTCAGGCGGAACGGCCATTTTCAATTGTTCCACGACGGGTTCAGCGATCGATGGCATCGAGTGGCTGCACAATGGCACACCCTTGAAAGAAAATAATGCACTCAGCACCGGCAGAGACAAGTAAGTGCAATGCTTTCCTCCTAATAAAACCAAAACAAAAAAAAAACATATTAAAAACATAAAACTGAGTTTAACTATGAAATTATTTTGTTTTTCCGTTCATGTAACTTCGGAAAAAAATTTATCTTTTTTTGTTTTTTATTTTATATAGAAGTGTTGTTGTTGTTTCTAAGGCTTTGAATTGGAACTCGGATTTGGCTTTGTTGCCATTGTGCGCGCTGCACATTCAGCATTTATATTCGTTTAGCTCTGCTTTTCGAAATATTTTGTTCTATAGTTTCTGATTTTTTTTTTAATGTTTGACTGCAGATAAACACTGGTTTTCCATTTTTTTTCTGCAGTTTTGATTATTTGGAAATTCCAATTTTTGCTGGCTGTTATTGGCAGTTATCAATTGCCACATCAATATTATTGTTGGTTAAAAATTCGTGGTTCGATTAGGTTTTCCAAAACAAATTCCATTCTTTTTTCGGTTCTTTAGTAAAAATTTCTATTATTTTCTGTAATGTTTTGCGGTCATGAACTCTTTGATTTCGGTGAGCTTATGATGTAAGTTGTTAGAAAAATTGAAATAAATGTATTTTCAATACTTTGTGTATTCATAAAATATTTATTCAATAAATTATCGCCTTCAGAATTTAAAAATAATGTATTTTGAAAATAACATGAAAATATTATTTAATATTTTATATTACTTACCCTTAAGTAAACAACAACTCACATTAAATACGACCTAATATTTTTTTCCGATATTTAATTAAAAATGTGAAAATATAAACACATGTATAATATATATCAGTGACGATTGCTCTAAGGTGCGGAGATGTGCGGTGAACACCCTAACATAATTTGCAAAATGTCAAACAACATAGGTATATAAATTTATTAAGTATCTTCACATCAACAATTATTATTATTTATTACATTTCCATATATATTTTTTTAAAGTTTTAGAAAAAACAATTAAATATACATAATTGTCTATGAAAACTCAATCAATTTGCTTCTGTTAGCTGCTATACTTATTAGGTGTGCTCATATATTTGCAGCTCAAATCACAGAACATTTCTATTATATTTCGTCTCTCCCCTTTGTGTGCAAAGAAGTTGGCCGCACATTCATACGTTGCATATGAACAAAATAATGTGCGTATGCTCCCGTTCGTAATATCAGAAATAGAGATTTATATGTGGGAATTGTATGAGAGTAATTTTCTGTTCTATTCGAATATCAACTGCATGCATACGAATCCAACATGATGATTTGCCAAAGTGGTTGCATGAGCGGCTGAAGTTTGCAGCTCATCTCACCATACATTTCTATCACATTTCGTCTCTCCCCTTTTAACAGTAGCACCCACGAATTTCTGTCGCTCACTGTGCGGAGTACTTGTCCGCACATTTATACGTTGCAAGTGGGTTTGATTTTGTTTGATCACTGCATAAACATGTATGGTTCTGAGTTAAAACTCTTTTGTTTGAAAAAAGTTGGTTTGATGTTACGAGAATTATGTGAAAAGTTTTGTTTCTTCCATATTGATATACTATATATTAACTTTATATATAAATTATTAATTTAATTTGTTTAATATGTTATTTTGTTAATGAATTGTTAATATAATATTGCGAATATATTGTTGCCTTATATAATATAGTTATTATTAATAAAAGATCTCATATATTTTAATATAAGTGGTACATGTAAAAACAACATTAAAGAAGGGCCGCACACCCTTCCCGATAGGGCACGCGTCGTCACTGATATATATAATATATTTGCTCTCGAATAAAGACCAAATGATTCGTTAATATTGAAAAATTGTGTCAGCAAATATCGATAAATATATATGGCTTCAGTTCATAGTTTCAGTGAACTTTTTTATCTTGAGTTTTTTTTAAACCAATTTTCTTTGTTTACTTCATGAAAGTCCATAACAATTAAAGATAATCAGTTATGAGTTCTCTGTTCAATACTAAAACGATTTATTAATGATATAATAATATCTTGGCAACCCTGCTTTTATTCAGTAAAACACTTTGAGTTGCATTTTTGCTTTCTTGACAATTTCTCAACACTTTTCATGTCCAATTTTGGGCTCTTCAAATGAAAAGATCTGTTATTTTCATTATCTTTACTGCAACAGATCAACAACTATATTTGGTTGCTACTAAAATATTTGTTTTCATTTTTATTAATATTTCCTTCTTTTATTTCCTCTAAAAGTATTCTATTCTTACATCAAATACTACGCAATATAACATCAATGTTGGAAAAACTTATTTTTTCTGGAGGCCAGAGCTGAACATTCATTTTTGTTCTTTTTTCTTTTTCTTTTCCTTTCTTTAAGTTTTTGTAACTTCTGCAGTTCCTATATGTCGGTAAGCAGAGAGAATAGCAGTAAGTCATGCAGTATTAATCGTGTCCTTTTTAATGAGTTCCCAAGATCGAGTCTTGATATATGTGGGTCACGTTAATCGAGAAGTTTCACATAACCTAAGTGTCTTCTGTTTTGTTTTCACAAGCTAAAGAAAGTAACAACTTTAAACAAATTCTGGGTTAACGTAAACAAGTACCCTGAAGAATACATCTGGGGAACACGAAACAGGCGAAACTGTATGCTTTCTCATACCCTTCAATACAGAATACAATTAACTTAAGTACAATATTTCACTTTTCTAATTAGTAGGTACACTGTTCTGGTTAGGTTGAGAGATGTGATTTAGCTGTCAACACATTCAATCAGAAAATTTTTTTTGTTGCTTTTTCAATTCAATTCGACCCCTTCAACCCTTAAATAGTTTCTTTTCGTCATAAGACGCGTCCTTTCGACAAAAAAAAATTAACATTCCTGAATATATTTTATTTACATGAAACTAAATATTGAGGTATAAATTTTCTTCTAAACTAATGTCACCAGATTAGTGTGTTATATGTCTTTAAGGTGGCCGTTCTACATTTTACTCAAATTTACCGAACCAAATTACCTTCATTATATATTAATTAATTGTGATGTACAGTTGATAAATTAACAATTATAATGCATGATAAATCATAAAAACAGAATATCATAAAAGTCACATAAAGTTCCTTTCTAAAATTTCAAAGAATATGCCTACTTTGCCTTTGGCATGCCAAATCTAAAAGGGTTTCATTATTACAATTTATCTCAAATTAAGCCAAATCAGCATAATTTTATCTAAACATGTAATGCAAAGTCATAGATTACAGATCACACACATACCGACCTCACACAGAAGTACAAAAGCAATAGACTTACTAAGCCGGGCAAGTTCAATGCTTGTCTGTCGAACAGATGTTGGCCAAGTACCAAACCCGAGAACAGAGCCAACCGAAATCAGAATTACAAATCAAGCAGAAATTTTTATGATTATGCTAATAAAGTAAATAACAAATTCTGGTTGATTGTGAACATATGCCACAGTTCCCATATATACCGACAGTAAATATTATAAAAGTTTCTATTACATCAACACGCATACACATACCAAAATGTGATAAAAGTGATAAGGGATGACGGGGGCTTCCGACAATCTTTTGCGAAAAGCAACTTTGACTCATTTTATATGAAGAACAATGGATTAAAGTAAATACACTCATTTGTATGAATATTTGCCGGCACATGTGCAAAGCCAAAAATATCCTTTTTGCCTTTTATTTAAACATTTAAATAATAAAATATTTTTGTTGACGTTTGCAGTTTACGTTTTCTAACAAGGGCGTCCCTCATGATACTAAATGTGGGCCGTCGGGACCGGGGTGCCTATCAATGCCTGGTTGAAAACCACAAAGCAAGTGCACAGGCAATGGCCGAACTGAAATTGGGGGGTAAGTAATTTGCATTGCTATAGTGTTGATTAATATTTTGTGCATTTTTTTTATTAAATTATTTTTATTTAAATAATTTTATTTATTGACAAATGTTGAAAATTTAAACTTAAAATATTCTATCTCTGCAGACACTGTGCCTGAACTGATTTATACATTCATCGAGCAAAATGTACGTCCGGGACCATTAATATCCCTTAAGTGCTCGGCAAGCGGTTCACCGCCACCACAAGTAAGTATACATACACACACACATATATTCAGGCATACATTAAATTTGCTGACTCCGCGAAAATATTCTGTAGAATATCCCCAATTTGATGATATAAAATTTATTTTCTACTATTTTTGTTTTGCTCCTTGTACAGTTTGCGTGGCTACTGGATTCTCAGCCCATAATGGATGTTTCCTTGCATCATCGCTTTGCAATTGGGCAATTTGTCGATATGTCTGGCGATGTAATAAGTCATTTGAATATCTCCCATGTACGACCGGATGATGGTGGACTCTATAAATGCATTGCTACAAATTCTATGGGTAGTGTGGAGCATGCAGCGAGACTAAATGTGTATGGTAAGTTAAGACAAAATTTATGATTTCATACAGTACAGTACATAAGAGTAGCATTAGACATTTATATTTGTTACTAAAATATGTATTAATTTTATACAAACATATCTAAAACCATATTCAAGCCCTTTTGGCTTGCTTATTATATCAATACTCCGCTTCACTAAATATACGAGTATATAAATTCTATATAAAATAGAAATTCGTAAAGCGTCTAAATTGACTTTGATTGGCAAACTATCAACGAACTATCATACAACAAAAAAATCAAAAGAAAACCATCATTGTCATATACCACAATATTCTACCAAAAATAAAAAAAAATCAAAAACATTATTAATAATAACAAAATTGAAAAATTCTTTATTGCTTCCTTAAAAAAATTCTTTTTGAAATGATTGCTATGCAGGCGCATAAAAAGATACTAAAAATTGCCTTGGCAAGGATATCTCAACATGCTATTCCTATCATGCCATTTTCACAATAACCTTTACATTGGATGCATTGATTCGTACACAAAGTAACTTGGCTATGAATGCCAACAAGCTGAGTGAGATTGTGCCCTGCTCTGCATTGTCTGCTATAAGGCTTTTATCCTGCCTGGTAGAGCAATGCGGTGTTGTGTGCTGTTTAACGTTTTATCATAATAGCCCAGTCGAGACACTGAAGGACACAATCACTGTCATATTATATATTAAAAAAGCAAAATAAAAAAAATTACTAACAATAAAGCTTTAACATTGTCAGGGTAACGAAATTCTGCAAAATTTTAAGGATGCAAGAGTTTTATTTTTGCTGTGTTAGCCTTTGAAATCTTTAACGTTTAAGATAATAGATAATTTGCAAGTGTACTGCTTTAAATTGATTACTAAATATACAAGTGCACAATCAAGCAGATCCTCTGTTCTGGGACAGCTTAAAGTTTATTAAATGTCGTATATATAATAGAATTTAATATTGTCAGGCAGTAGGCGTATATGGTGGCATTGATTTCAATGGGTTAGGTGTATTATGAATGTACAATGATAATGCACAATGATAGATAATAATAAGTTTCCAAAAAATTACAAGATAGCACAAAATAATATAGAAAGAAGAGATGCTATAAAAAATTACGTATGAGGAGTGATAAGAGCTATTTCAATGAAAAAAAAATTATTAAAAAGCGAATACAAAACTATTCTATAAAAGTAAGTGAGAAAAATAATCGATTTTAAAAAAAAAAAAAACGAATTAAAAATTAATTATGGGGCTTACTTTATGATATGTTGTTCTATATACTTCGTACTTTTTTTGCAACTAATCTAATTCAGACAATATATAGTAACAGTTTGATTAAAAAGTGATTAGTATCATTACCATGTATATGAACCAAATTTCGAAGTTTATGATTTAGTTTAGGTGGACACAATAACATATTCGCAAATAGATCGCTAAAACAACGTCAAAGTTATATAGTAAGATTCTTTTTTAGTGCAGTTAAGGTAATGCTATGTACAATGTATCACGACATGTAAATTTATATTGTAAAGAGAACATTATTAAAGCTTGACTTAAATACTTTCAAGTAAACAAACTAAAGAGTAATTTATTGTTAATGGACTATCGTAGCTTTATTGTCATTATTCTTTGATATCCTATCTCGGCTTATATCGGAGCTTATGATTTTGCTTTTTAAATTTCAAATGTTAATCATTTTTAAGACTACTTTACTGCATCCGGTTGTTGATTTCACAGTCTTTGTCTTGTTCAGAAACCTCCTTAGTTGAAATAAGTGCATCATTATCTAACTTTCGGATATCGTGGCTATTGTATCTTAGATGCTGTGCTTTACCAAATATAGTAACTTATGAGCTATGAGTTACCAACAAGTTCTGCACAAAAGATCTTTCAGGTCGCAATGCATGCACAGCCCATCTTTACCAACAAGTGGACCGGAATGCTTTACTTGTTGTGAGTGCCTGCCGTTTATTATTAGCTAGCTATAGGAAATGAAGATAGATTTTTACAGTTCTTGTGTGTGTGGGAGAATGAATTCTCATGTATAGTTACTTTGCAGACCTTTCTGATTAACCAATGTAACATTAGGATCCATAGCTTTTGATGAACTGAGTATTATAGATAAATCTAATTTTGTAATAGATATTATCAAGTCAGAGGGTGTGGATTAGATTGAATAATGCTTACCTCAGCATTTTGTTAAGCAATTCTGTTAAATTGTACTTGCTACCTCATTAAAAATAATTAAAATTTCTTAATAAGCTTAAATAAATATTAAAAACAAATATATATGGCATGATCTATGGCCTTCTTTATATTGTATTTTACTATAAATTTACTATAAATTTATAATAGTTGTCATTACAATACATAAAAAAGAAAAATAAAATAAATCATTTTTAATTAAATGAATTATTTCACAACAATGAATTCACACTTCTAATCCTGAAACTATTTTTGATTGTTAATAATCGTCCAAAGCTGCCAAAAATAATTCCTGTTTCCATGTTATTATCAGTTTAGCATCAACAATTTCCCACATAATCCACGTCACTGACTTCACAAAAATTGCAACGAATTTATTTCAATTTTCCGTATAAATTTGCATACATAAATGTCAATTTAAAAATGCATAAAATGTTTTGATTTTTCTTTCATTTTACAATATTTTTCTTTTTTGTTTTGGATTTATCTATTTTCATTTATTTTCATATTTATGATTTCAATTGCATTTTCACAATTCGAAATATGACAAAACTCTTATGAACCAAATAAAAAAATCTATTGCTTCGATTGTCAACAAAACGCTTTGCATTGTTGCATTCCACAAATTATTGTCACAGACCTCACAGAGCTCATGGAGCTCTCTTAACTATCACATCACACATCGAAGTCGAAGTTATGCTGAATCCACTGCAGTTTGCACAGCAGATGTTGGTGCAAAATAGAAGATACTCACATCTCGAAAAGCAAAAAAGGATATTTCATGCATAATCGATTTTATGCATGTCAGATTTGCATTGTTGTTGTGAAATGTACGGATTCTCAAATGTTTATTTGCATAATATTGTATAGTTTATGTATGCGAGAAGTCGTACATATATAATCGATGTTTGTTGCTGCTCTACATGTAAGTATCTTTGACTCATCTCCTCATAGATGCAAATATATAACAAGCTGTGAGGAGGCTTTGTGTGATTCTTCGGAGATGACATTTTTTTTTAAATCTTTCTAAATACTTTTCTGTATTTTTCTGTGAACCTGTTTTTGTAAAACTGAATGAAAAATTAAATAAAGTAACTTAAAGTAACACATAAAAAATAATTAAGAAGTTTGGATAAATTAAAAATTCTTTTGGATTATCAGAATATTTTAAACAAAACTCTAGGTTACCTTCCTAATTATCAGATATAATAATTCTGAGTTTAATTATTACAAAAAAAACATAATTTCAGTTTAATAAAGAAGAAGTGGTTGGTCGATGTCCAGAGAAGTGTGGGTCATATATTTTTAATTTATTTTTTGATCCTAGAAATATATCATTTTGATAGAAAAATTTTGAACACTTTAGAAGGTATAAAAAATTTTCTGCACTCTTTTACCACTATGAATGAGGCCTAAATGTAACGCTAGAACTTTGGATCAAAACAAGTGAATAAGGAAAAATTGCGTAAAAAGTTGTTGGTGTTAGTTTTTAAAGAGCTTAAAGAATTTCGTTGATAGTTTATCTCTAAACTTGTAAAATTAATAAGACCTCATTATTATTCCAACCTTTTTCATAAACTGAATACTGAAAAAAAGAACTCAGTTGGCAACTCACTAGACAGCCCATTTTGCATAAATTCAAGCCACAGCTCAAACAGCTTAAGAAACTGTCGCTAAAGTCATTAAGTTATATGAAGAACTGTTGCAACAACCAGCACATAGCAGAGTCTACAGACAATATACCAGACAATATTAGAATATTTAAATCACATTCCTCGCAACAATAACTTGCAGAACTAAATTCAACCATTTAAAGTGTATAAAGTTTAATAGATCTTTTATTCTACCGCAGAACAGTGTAACAGACTTTCAAGAAAGCATTGTCCAAAAAATCTGTTACCAAAGTTGGCCTAATAAAGCAAGTCTTCGTCCAAGTCTCCACAAGTGTTGAACGGAGCTTTTCTACGTAAGATTCTCTACACTAGTGGCTTGAAATCACTGCAGTTGAGTATGAACTCGGCCATGTTAATGAGTTCTTTGTACAGGGTAATATTGAATCCGGATATTTTACATATTGTGAGTGACTAACGCCAATTATTACTTAGCTGCAGAAATTGGAAATCGTTGTTCCCTTAACGAACTCTAGTAAAATGAACTCTGTAATAAAGATTCTTCGCAGAACTTCTTTATTAATCAGTTGGCATTGGATCCATAACGTTTGATGAGATAAATTTTATAGATGTTGACGGAGACTATATTGAAAAATTAAGATATTTTTAGCAATAAAAATTGGTTTTCTTATACCCGTCCCGTAAATTTATTAAACATTCTAGTATTTGCAAATAGAAATTAATTTTCGGGATTTTTTTTATAAAAACATTAGAACATTATTTATTTGTCAAGTTACAAGTCTTAAAAGAAAAACTTTAACAGCTGTCTTCGATATGTATACATATGTAGGTCAAACATTTTGATTTTAAGTATAAATGGATATGTCACTGGGCGTTTTCCTTTCTTAGTAAATATTACTTGTTTTAATTCATACTTGACAGATTGTAATGGATACAAATAAAAAAAAATTAGTAACATTACGCAATAGAAAGATAGAGTGACCGAAAGATATAATATAAGAGTTGTATCTATTATTGGTTATATTTTAATAAATTTAATATAGTAGTTATCTTTCTTTCTATCCATGGTATCATAACGAGCTATTATTCGACCCATGCGGGGTTTGGGGCCAACTTCGTCTCCAACTTAACTAAACCTAATCTATGTTCCTAACAGTATAAAGAATATTAAAATAAAAATAAAATATTTAACTAATAATTCTTGAATGCCAAAACTAACACAGATATCATTTTGTATTAGGATCTAGTAACTAGCAATAATACATTGTTCTTAAAATTAAGGTAAGCTTTATAGATTGGTATTCTAAAATTGAAACAATTTTTAATTTTAATAGTTTTTTGTATTGCTTAAAAAAATAAACAAATTGTTAACAACTATTTACAAAAAAAATAAATTTTAAATGTTAAGAAACAAATGAGTATCTGAGAGTTACAAAAACAAAGTCCATATGGTTTTTAGTAGAGTTAATATATATATCTAATTATAAAGTAATAGTTAATATAAATTAATTGTTAAAAAGTCTATCAGATTATACTAGAGTAGTAGTAGTTATTTTATATTGTTAAATAAAATAATTCGAATTAATAATAAAAAATAATCAATGAATAAAAATTAATAATAAAAACTGAAAGTATGACACGTGAGAAAGTTTTGGAAATTGAATGATGAGAATTGCACTTAAGTTAACAGATTTGGTCATGTTGAAAACAAATCTAAGGAACTATGTATTGGAAAGTCATATAAATCGTCAAAAGTATCCAAAATAGCCATTGGACTACACAATGGTAATTGCTGTTCCATTGGTATATCTAGCGCACCAGCATTAGCTTCCAACAGTCGAAGGTTTAACTCAAATGGTTGACTTTCATAGCCGCTGAATAGGTTGGCAGCTAAATCAGTTGCCATTTCTGTTGATTCAAGCAAGTTAATATAGTTGGCCTGCAAAGGACTTAAGCAATGTTCTGACAAATGCAATGACTCTCCATCAGATTCCAGCATCAAATTGGTTAAGTCAGCAATAGTATTCGCTTGTGTGTAATTGGAATCGTTGACGTTGTTCACATTTCTGTTTGCTTTGGATTTGTTGTTTTCATGGATATCGACCAGCCTTGGAGTTTGCTTCCTTTGACGTCGTTTCGATAAGTTCTTGCGACAAACACTGTTAGCGGGTAATTTTGCAACATTTTTATTCTGCACTTTTGTAGGTTTACTCAAAGTCTTTTCGGGTTGAGCAACTTGTATGCGACTAGCAACTGATTGCAACGCGTCAAATGACAAATTTAGTTCGCCATACTTTTTACACTCTAAAATGTCATCCACTGGTACGTCATCATTATTCAGTGCTTCAGTTAAGACACTTATGTACTTCATGGCCAGTCGCAGTGTGGTGATTTTCGTCAGCTTCTCATTTGCTGCGCCTACCTCTTCATCGGTTATGGCTGTTGGAACACAACTGCGTAGATTTTCGAAGGCTTGATTTATCTCCTTCATGCGGGTGCGTTCCCTTGCATTTGCCGTTTTTCGTCGGTATTTGGAGAGCGGCGCTGCTTTAACTTTCTTCGCATTTGTGGATTTTGCAGTTTTGCTGCTTTCAACTGCAATACAGCCACTGGCATTTTTGTCGGAATATCTGGCGTTTTTTGGTTTGCTGCTTGTGAAAATGAATTCATTTTCTGGCTTTTTGTGTTGACTTTTATGTCTCTGACGGAGTGAATATTTTTCTGTAATTTTGTTACTACTGCTGTTGTTGTTATTGTTGTTGTAGTCACATTTGTTGATTGGCAATAATGCCGCATAATTATGCATTTCATAAGTCATTTTGGACGTGAATTACTTCCGAAGCGCTTTCAACTGAAAAAAAATAAAAATAAAAACAAAAGAAAATTAATTTAATTAATTTTAATTAAAAATTTTTCAATTTATGCTAATTATTATATATTTTGATTTATTGGCTATTCACAAAAATTAAAGTCTTAAATGTGTTCTTGAGATAGAAGCATTTAATCTATCACAACTTCACTCCTACAATGCGACGATGAATTTATGCCAAATAAAAGTTAATTTTCGTTTGTTACATGCCAACGAGCATTTATGAAGCGTAAAAATTATTTATTTTCTTTTTGTTTGTCAAAAATAAAAATAAAAGAAATAAATTATTAAGCGGAAATGGTTAATTTTTTTGAAATTTTGTTGTCTTCGAGTTTTAATTTTTTTTTCGATTTTATTGTTTTATTTCATTTTTTATATAATTTCGGATTTGGGCGAGTTGATTTGAGTTGTTGGTTTCTCAGACTAATCAAAATATGTAGAGCATTTAAAAGTAATTAAAAACTGATCAAATTTCGTATCAATTTCTTGAAATTGAACATAAAACGCTTCCTCACTCATCTTGAGTGATTCGAGTCGAGTATGAATTAATAAGCAACGAAGGAAGTTAACAGATACAAGCCCACACATTTAGTAACTGTAAGCAATTAACGTGGGCGCGTGTTTACACACTATGAATGCTTTTAAATTAGTAGTATTTTTTAATAGCAGACTTTTTTATGATATCTTGAACGGAAATAAATAAAATATTTAAAAATATTCAGAAATATCTCATTTAAAACTGAATGAAATACTTTCCAAAATGTGCTGTAATTAATTGTTGTAGATTTCTTCAATTAAAAATGTATTTAAATTGCGGTATAGTTGGAATACTATAAGAATACTATATACTATATAGAATACTATAGTAGTAGGAATACTATAAGCAATATATTAAATTAATTTTTTTTTATTTTATATATTGTTGTGAATATTGAATTTAAGTTATCTTTGAAATAGTTTCTAGGAATGTCTGTATGTTGGGAAATAAGTTTTGATATATAATTATTATTCTTTCTTCATTCCTGATTCTTCTTCTTGAGTTAGTGCTATTACGCACTTTTACTCTATAATGGCTGGGGGGTTTATCTCTATCCCACACTCGGCTTTAACTAGGCTAGGAAATCATAACATTTATATGTCTTTCAGTTGATGACGGCGGGGTTAAGTAGCGTATCAACTTTAGTGAATAATTTTAGAGCTCTGTCTCTGATATATTTTTTCACTGAGTCAATCCTAAGATCTCTATGTATGTCTGTTGATCTAATATACCATGGAATCTTAAACAGTCTTCTTAAAGCCAGGTTTTGTGCTGCCTGTAATTGCTTTAAAGTAGTATTTGAGGCTTTGCTATATGTAACACATCCGTACAGTGGTACTGGTCCAATTACTTGCGTATAAAGTAACTTTCTGTTTTTAAAGTTGAAGTGATAATTTTCCGTCTGTATTTCAAATGTTTAAGCCAATTGAACCGTTTGTCAAAAGTGACCCCCAGATATTTTATGTTATCCTTCCACCGTATTTCCGTGTCACAAACGCTTACTCTTGGGGGATGCTGTCTTCTTTTCCGAGTTATAAATATAGCCTTGGTTTTGTCATTATTAATTTTAATCTTCATTTTTTGGAAGTATTTCACCATAAGGTCTATATTTCCCTGTAAAGTGTTGCTTATTATTAGAGAAAATTGTGTGTTTGCGTTTCACAAAACTAAAAGCAATAAAAACGTTTATATAAAATTTGAGTGGACTATTTAATTACTTATCGGGATCCAGGGATTGCGAACGTCTACGTGAGAAAGTACGGAACAATATATTAAAATTAATAAAATTTGTACTAATAGTACAGTGGTAGTATAGTATTAGTAAAATTATTTTATTTTTAAGTAAAATAACACTTGTAAACAACGTTTTACAAAGAAATCTGTAAATTTGAATAATTATATATTTAAAGCTTATAGTTATAGCAATTTTGCCGTCTAGCACAGGCTTGAATTAGTACTTATATATAATATTATATATAGTACATTTTTTTTTCACTTCAATATATTATTATTTTTTATTTTTTGTTTAAATCAACAACTTATTATTGCTATTGGGAATACTTTAATGCAATTAGTGAAGTTGTAATAATTGCATGTGCAAGTATGCTTGTCATTAAATATTAAAATTAGCCATGAAGTGACTTTAGTAATTTTAACTTAACTCGAATAATTAACAAACAATTATTTAAAATTAATGATTTAATTAAATTGTAATAGTTATGTTTTAAATCTGAAATATAAATTGTATGAAAAATTTCCATAAATGAATAAAATCGCTTTATATTGATTACATCTACATAGTAAATTTAATTTTTTTAGTTGATAATGACAAGGATTCCTTTGAGAACGAACTTTTTATACTCTTTACATAAAAAATTGAAAAAAGGTGCATAATGTTAGGTTTGTCATGATTTTTTTGTTACGTATTGAAGGAATAGTCGTAGAATCCATAAAGTATATATGTGTATTCTTGAACACCTCGACAAGTTGAATTTATTTAACTCTTTCTGTCGTCCGTTCGTTTCACCCAAGAACACACATTTTTAGTTTTTGAGGTATTCGAGTGAAACTTTGAACACCTACTCTTCGAAAGCATCCTACATTCTATAGCTACCACATAAAGCTGCTATATACATATAAACATATAAATACGAAACTACTTATTTTGTTTTCAAACAACATATAAAAGAAACAATATATATTCGTTAAAAATTTTCAAAACTTTGTGTAAAGGGTATTGGCTTTATTTGTTTCATTTCTTTGTTCTACAGTGAAGTCTAACGTTGAGAGTAATAGAGTTACTATTTAAATCTGAGATTTAAATTTTAAAGGAAAGCCGTAAAAAAGAAAAAAATTCCCTTTACCTTGCATATATCTACATATTTAAAATAATATTAATGATAAAATTTCTTTGAGGATAAGTCCAGAAGTGACATGGCATCAACTATCGTTTCCTGTCAACTCATAATCTTATAATTAATCATAAGCCTCTTTTCAAATGTTTTTAACGCTTATTGTGAAGTGGACTTCAAGATAGTTCTAGTGATAATGCTAAGGTTTTCATAATATGTTGACTATCGAGCTACTTTTAGAATTTAGGTGTTAAAGGGTTGTCGATTTTAAGGCGTTTCCTCTATCTTATCACTAATCATTTTCTTTTATCTTTTTCTTGCGGCAATTTATTCCTATCTACTGGGATATACTTCAAATTCCTTCGAAGCTAGTTTACAGTTAACAAGTAAAGAAATTGCGCAGTGTTATCCATATACTAATACGCTGACTGCCAATTATAAAATAACTTATAGCTTGATCCTATAAGTTAATCTGGCATAATCCAGATGGATTATTATAATCCTTATAATATTATCACTTATGTTATAATCAATGAATTAAACTATGTTTATATCAAGATCATTTTCTTCATTGTAGTTGTTAGTATATGAATTTTTAATAGTTTATTCTTAGAACTCTTGATTGTTTATTTTCTCTGGATAGTGAGTATAGTAACGCAACTTTCTTATATTTCTTTTGGTTCATTCGAAAGTTCACTCTATGTCCACCAAAGTTTCTCGTACAGTCAGTATAAAAATTCTAAATATTCTGATCACTAGTGACAGAAATTACACTTGTAGATAACTGAAATTATTCCTACGATCAATGTACCATAGTACTAAACTGATGCGAAGGATATATTTGGATAGGTTGAGCTTTATTCGTATTGCTTTAAGGTTAACTACTATCACCAATGCACCAAGTGATCTATTTGAGAGTGTATGGTAATGTCTCTGAGTGACAGTAACAAATTTTTTCTGTAAAGAAGTTGATTTATAAGAATATTCAACCATTATTAAACATATATTAAGCTTAAAACCCAGGTGGTTAATAATGGACTGCATGTTGTTGATTTTGGTTGTTAGTAAGCAGATATCTTCATAAAAGTCTAAATGCTTAAGTTAAGTTGTAGGAGTTCTAAACCATTGCAAATGTTCTCAGGTCCGTTATTATGGACTGTATGTGATTGACTGTGGTTGACAGTACCCAGATAATTTTTGCTAATTCGTAATCCTCGAGCAGATTTTTAAGAATACTAAGATATTGCCAAATTTTCCAGGTAGTTTATTTTGAAATGCATGCAGTAAATTGGATGACAGTAGGTAAACATCTTTCGTAGAATTTTTAAAACTACGTTTACTTTTTGAGAATGTTTAATACAGTTTTTAAAATAAATATGAAATATTTTTATTTTTCGACTTAT